AGACACAAAAAGATTAATAAGTTTCTATATAACCAGTGTCATAATGTGATCCCCATTCTTTGCCGAGTGGTCGCAAGTGCGACTGCCGGGCCATGGGTCTCGGGTTCGATTCCCGGGTCGGGCAAAGTATCACTGTTTTTTTTAATCTTAGTAGTAGCACGGAGTCTGGAAATGTGCCCGGTATATGGCAATAGGTTCACCCCCTATTACATGGGACTGTAAGTGGCAGTAAGTGTCGCAATGTGCACCTCTGTCTACCCCTTCGGGGATAAAAGGCGTGATGTTATGGTAAAGGAGAATTTCATAATTTCCTACAATAAAATATTATACTAAAAAGCTACTCACTTTCATTGGTAACGAGCAGTAGAGCTTTTAATGGCATCTTACAGAAATTAACTAGAAAATATTAAACTATTAAGTTTGAAACATGATTGAAAAGTACACTTACCTATTTACTGCCTTCTGCCTCGTTGACCGAGTGGTCGCAAGTGCGACTGCCGGACATCGAGCCTCGGGTTCGATTGAACCTACCTTGGGAATCGAATCTACCGAAATAATACTGGGTAAAAAAAATCCCAGTAGTAGCACGGAGTCCGGAATTGTACCCGGTATATGGCAATAGGCTCACCCCCTATTATATCTAACTCATAACATAAATATTGAAAAGTGGGTGTTACATTGTACAGTGGCATAATGTGCACCTCTGCCTAACCCTTCGGGGATAAAAGGCGTGATGTCATGTTATGTACTTACCTATTTAATTACAACCAAATATTTCGTCATAACAATTTACAACTATCCTCATAACATCATCGACAGCAAATAAATGATCTCACAGGCATTAAAAGACCTATACAACGAAGGTAATTAATACATTCTATAGCCTTCTAAACAATACATTGAAGCTAGATAACTACCAGTACACAATCAACTAGATAGATCTCACTTCGCATTATGATACGATGTTGAACTCAATTCACATAAAGGTCTACAAAACCAGTTCGTCATGAGCTCTTTGTATATAATTTCTTCGGGCAATCGACGGTCAGTTTATAGTGGTGGTACATAGCTTGATGTGGAGTCTACGTCGCTGCTAATGCAATATTAACGAGTGTTGCACTTTGTGCGAGAATGACGATGCATTGACTAAATGAGAGCTAGATTATCGACACTCCAAATGGAATTGTATGAATTGTTCACATCATGTATATAGGTATATTTATTGATAGTCACATCACAGCTCATAATGATAGTTCACAGCTGAACTATCATATGTATATTACTAGCTACCCGCCCCGGCTTTGCACGGGTGCAATATGCATGTATTATACACATAAACCTTCCTTAAGAATCACTCTATCTATTAAAACCGCATCAATATCCGTTGCGTAGTTTTGAAGATCTACGCAAACATAGGGACAGACAGACGGCGGATAGCGACTTTGTTTTATAATAAATTTCGTGAGACATACTAAATTAACTAAAAATTGCGGGTTGCTCACGTAAATATACTGAAAAAAGCTCTACTAGTTTCGAACCACAGAGGAGTTCTTCCTCATGAGCAGCGTGCGCGGTCGTAGCGATGTCGCGCAGCCTACAGCCTTTTTAGTTAATTTAGTATGTCTCACGATAGTTAGGTATAACAAAAACATACTAGATTAGTTATCATTGATCTTGGCTTACTCATGTGACTATTTGACGAGGAACTCGACTAGTTTCAAACCATGCTAGAGGCTCATATTCATACATATGAAGTATCACGTTGAGCTTCCTAACCATAATAAGGATTTACCATAATCTCCAGGTTTGGACCTATCAAGCAAGGATTAGAGATTTATGGCCAAAATAATAACCAAATACTAAAGATAGACATAACATAACATCACGCTTTTTATCCCCGTAGGGGTAGGCAGAGGTGTATATTATGACACTACAATGTAACACCCACTTTTCACTATTTATGTTGAGTCCCATGTAATAGGGGTTGAGCCTATTGCCATATACTGGGCACATTTCCAGACTCTGTGCTACTACTGAGATTTTTTTTAAAACCCGTTAATACTTTGCCCGACCCGGGTATCGAACCCAAAACCCCATGCTCGGCAGTGACCACTCGGCCAACGTGTCAGTCTTTCAATTTCAATCCAACAAAATGTCAATAATTATTCAATATCAGCACTATACAACCCCAATCGTAGCATTTATGGTACAAAATATAAAATTAAACTCAATACAATTCGACATTGATTTTTGCCTTACAATTTTGATTACAAAAACGTTCTTATAACACGATGGAAATCCTCATGGACTTCTCACGTCGTGGAGTGTGCCGGGCTGACAGGAGGAGGACTGAACACCGCGGTGGTTTAAACTGTCAAACACCCAGCGGTCACCGGTCACCGCAACCTATTGTTCTATAATTGTGTCTATAATGACGGTATTCAACGAGCTATGGCGACTTAAACCACTTACAAATAGACACTTTTACGGATGCAACGGACGCTAGTGTTATCACTAAAGATTATGCATAATATCAATGTCGATCGGGATTTTTTTTAAGTGGGGAAAATCATCCAATGACTGCTCCCGCCTGGGTGTGGCGGGAGGCAGTGTCAGACTCTTACTGACTAAAAACCACCCCGTTCCTTCTCCTGCACGTCGAGCCGGAGCCCCGGTTACCCGTTAGGTTCTCCGCAACATTTATCGGGATTGGATTCAAGGGTACCCAAGTCCTTTGTAATTATATTCGGCGGTTAGCATGATCTTATGTCACCTACGGAGAATATACGGGTGGCAAATGGCTATACAGCTTCTACTCTTCTACTACATAATTTACGTAAGTTCTATAGGCTATAGTTATATATCCTACGTACTCATAAAATAACCTGACGCCTGCATTACCTGAGGGGATACCCAGACTTGTACTAGGTTAATTATGTTAGGTATCAGTAATTAGGTCACGCCTGACTACGGTAGTAAATGCGATTCTGGATCTTCAAGGTTCTAGAACTGGTAGAATAGATTACCTAGTTTTGGAATTCTTACTAGCGCGTATAGACTTTTTTGTTTTCGAAAATTATTTATAGGTACCTACTCTGGGTATTTGGCACATTCTTGCACAATCGCCAGTCTAGTACCGTTTAGACTGTATGGTTGGTGCGGTGGCTTGGCAACTGGCTACCGCGCAACGTGTTGTGGGTAGGTTTCCCGCACGGAGCAACTCTTTGTGTGATCCACAGATTGTTGTTCCGAGTCTAGATATCATTGTGTATGTGAACTTGTATGTTTGTAACCGGCAATTATCCCCACACTAGGATTTTCTCCTATGTCGTGACATAGGATTTTCTCCTAGGGGCAAGGTTTATTAAAAAAACAAATATAAGAAAATAAAGGCCAAAAATTCAATTCTTTATTTTCACAAAGTTTAAAAATGTTCATATAACATAATAAAATAAAAGTTTTAATTAACAGTATCTAGCTTATTTATTATTCAAATATTATGTTTATCGAATAAAATTGTATCATGCACCTGCAAAATAAATTATATCATTTTGCATTATACAATTTTAATAATAAATTCCAATAATAATGACATAACTTTAAAATATTCGTTAAACAAAGTTCACTATGATGGTCAAAGCGTTTCAACGTGATTTGTAAAATTGAATAATATTTCGCACTACGGTAGAAGGAAAAATATTTCAAAGGTATTTGGACTACAGGAAATTAATTGGGCACGTGTATAATATCAAAATTAAATTATAATAAAACCACCATTGTGATTAAAATTAGGTTCTTATTAAAATGAGATTCTTTTTTAATACCACTCACGGGAGCACAGGGTCCCAGTCATTTGGGGGTACGAGGGGCCTAAGTCAACTGCGCAGATGCCCTTTTAGACAACTTTATGTAATCTAGATGTAATGGATACACAAACCGGCGACTACCCCTGTATGCACCATGGAAATGGGCCCAAGGACCGTCCCCGGTTAATGTAGAACTATTGTGGATAACGGTAAAAAGGTATGGCTATGAATGAAATGAGATTATTATTGTTTAATTTGGTTACCAATTATTACTTTCACTAAAATACAGAAGATTAACATAGTTATTAGTCGACTGGTCTTAATACGATTGCATGTTAAATGTCGGACAAATAATATTGTTATTATTAGAGACATTGTACCTTTTTTTTTGAGGGGGAAAATCATCCAATGACTTCTCCCGCCTGGGTGGGGCGAGAGGGAGTGTCAGACTCTTAGTGACTAAAAACCACCCCGTTCCTACTCCTGCACTTCGCATGATCACACGCTCGTGCAGAGACATTGTACCTAGAACATACTTTTTTTTAAAGAGTAACGAATGGAGTTTCTTGCTCGTTCTTCTCCATTCGAATCTACATTTTGGAATGAGCACCTAGCTTCTCCTAGCTTCACTGACGGCCTGACTGACAGACTATTATCTATTTTGTATTTGTTGACGTTTCAAAAGTACCAAATTATGGTTTAATTGAAATAAATGCTTTGACTTTGACTTCCCAAAATCCTCTATATTAGTATGAGTTGCTATTCAAATTGTAATAAACAGCACAAAAGATTCCAACTTATAATTTGCTTAAAAAATTGTAAAAGCACATCAAACTACTAAATATAATAATACTAATATAAAAATAAATATAATAATACTAAATCCCCAACTTATTTCAATAGATTTTCAACATTATGTTATGAAGATAAGGTCAAAAATGGACTAAGTCTACCCCCGGTTTCATAATAACTATCGTGAGACATGCTGAATTAACTAAAAATTACGAGTAATTCACGTAAACATACAGAGATATGCTCTACTAGAATGCGCGACATCACCGCGACAGCACACGCTGCTCATGAGGAAGACTCCAGCTGTGGCTCGAAACTAGTAGAGCTTTTCTCAGTACATTTACGCGAGTAACTCGAAATTTTTAGTTAAGTCTTCCTCCTTCTACAGAAACCGCCAACTCTTCACTTTATGCTCTGCAGCATGATAATGGTGTATGTCACAGCAGATGAGATGACAGACACGAGTAGAGGGTACTGGATAGTGAAGAAGTGGGTTGCATGGAACTTGATGGGCCTGGTTAGAAGCAGGTTCCTTAAGGTCAGCAGGTCTGCAGTTAAAGTTGCAGCTGAAACAACGAAATTGAAGATAATAATATGGTTGATTGGGTTTCTGAAGCACGAGTAACTGATGAAAGACAATGATTAGTACATTGATTGGCTGACCTGAATTCACAAATAAAATACGAGAAATTGACAGAAACACAAGTTCCCTAGTGCATTTTGAAATGTCATGGTCAAAATCTGTAGAAATTATCATTCTACAAAATATAAAATGCAAATTAAATTGTGTATAGAGCGTAATATCAATTTCTTATTGTGGCAGAGAAAAGTTTGTAATTCTTAGGGTGCATCCACATCTGGTGTATGCACTGAGAATGGGCCGTTCGCGAACCGTTTGTGGGATGCCCGGGCGCTGCGAGCGTCAAGCAGAGCACTCGCCAGATGTGTACGCACCCTTATAATTTCCTAAAACACTAGAAGGTACTATAGGATGATCCAGGTCCAGATACTTATTTATATCATAACTAAATATCTTAATGTCATACTTACAATTCACTTTATTCACCAGTATAAGGTCGATGACCTCGACAATCTTTTCTTCTTCCCGGTACACCTTCTCACAGTGCAGCACCATGGAGATTCCCACTGCTGACCAATTGAGTAACCTCAGCAAACTGGAGAGCGATGGTAAGCGACTCACACCGTTTGGGGACAACTGGAGGAACAACATAAATTGTATGAAATGGACGATCCTGTTTATGTAAGTAATTGGTTAAATTCTGTAGTTAGTTTTAAAGCTTTAATTATTATAATATCAACTAGCGACCCGCCCCGGCTTCGCACGGGTGCAATATGCATGTATTATACGTACAAACCTTCCTTAAGAATCACTCTATCTATTAAAAAAAACCGCATCAAAATCCGTTGCGTAGTTTTAAAGATCTAAGCATACATACGGACATACAGCGAAAGCGACTTTGTTTTATACTATGTATTGATGATGATTTGTTGGACTGCCTCGTTGGCCGAGTTGTTGCAAGTGCAACTGCCGGGTAAGGGGTCTCGGGTTCGATTCCCGGGTCGGGCAAAGTATAACTGGGCTTAAAAAAAATTCTCAGTAGTAGCACGGAGTCTGGAATTGTGCCCGGTATATGGCAATAGGCTCACCCCCTATTTCATGGGACTTATAACATAGGACCTATAACAATAGTGATAAGTGTGTGTTACATTGTACAGTGGCATTAAGTGCCGAAATGTGCACCTCTGCCTACCCCTTCGGGGATAAAAAGACGTTATGTATGTTATGTAATATCCTATTGATTAAACATACTGGTAATTGCGAAAATACAAGATCACAAGAGCCTCACTTACCATTGAACCAGTTGCGAACCTGATGGACACATTCAACAAGTTGATCATATTTACAAGGAGGTTTAGACAAAATATTAAAACCTGGAAAATAATGTATCATATTAATATTACATTGATTTATTTTAATTTTCTCATAATCCACCGTGGTCGATACCAAGTAAGGGCTCGTACACAAAACTGCGAAGCGATGCCATACAAATTCGCAACGCAAAAAATTACGATGCGAATTGCTGCGATTTGATTTCGTGCGACAAGGCGTCTCCCAGATTGACCATTCCTTCGACGACCGTCAACCGTACTAAAAGTATTTTAAATTGAAAACTTGGTTGTGACATGGATCGTAAAAAGAAGTGTGCACTTCTGTTATTGCTTAGGAGATACAGGAAAAACAAAGGAGATTTTGGTAAGATAAGATTTTGATGCGCGATGCGAATCAATTCGCAAGTTCTTGCGATGCGTAGAGGGAGCTCGCACATTTTTGCGATGCAACGTCGCATCGCAGTTTTGTGTACGAGCCCTAAAGGTAAGTAAAGTGATCCTCGATTTGGCATTTTCATCCATCTATACAGATAAATAAAATTGGAGTGTCGGTTTGTAATAATTCCTTTATAATACCTACAGGCATATGAATATACAGACGATATAGATACCAAAATAATTTTCTGTCTGTCTGTCTATCTGTACTGGCTAATCTCTGAAATGGCTGGACTGATTTTGCAAAACTTTTATTCGTAGGTAGCTGATGTACTAAGAAGTAACATAGGCTACTTTTATTTATACAAAAAAAGTTACCTACAATCTAAACTTCGTATTATACGTGAACGAAGTCGCGGTCAACAGCTAGATGATCATAATTATAATTAGCATGTTCAGCATTATTAGAAGGTTTTGTTACAAATTAAAAACTCTCATACAATTTCATGTGCAAAAGAGTATTTTGGGAAAGATAATGACGTATTCTTTGTCGATGGAGAAAAGCCCAGTCAAGGTTTTGATATGAAACTAGACTGTAAGACGGTGTGCACGCAGCTCATGACTTTATAAATTTTTAAATGTTATCGCCAATTATTATTTGCGGTTTATTCTTATGTGATGAGCCAGTAAACGGTCATCAATCACCTGATGGTAAGCAATTGGCGTCGCCCACGGACACCTGGAACACCAGAGGCGTTACAAGTACGTTATAGGCCTTTTGGGATTAGGAATTTGAAGTTTGTTGGGAATTCAGGGAGTGGGAAGATTGGGGAGGGAGGGGGGTAATTGGGTCTCCGGTAACCTCATCCACAAGACAAAACACTATTCTATACTACTCCGGTCAAGCCGGCCCATTCAGGCCGAAGCTTATCTCTCCCATACTTTGTTAGAACTCCATTGATAATAGATACTCATAGAGCATAGTTGTAAAAATTTAAAAAGACGTCAATGTTTTTCTTACGTTGTTATTGCAATATTCTGTATAGTGCGCATCCTACTCAAAAACAATAACCTTTCCTAATCTGTTAATTGTTTGAGTTTCCTGCTATGATCCAATTCACATAAATATTATAACATAAATGTATGTGTTAACTTACCCGAATGCCAAACTTAGAGTTTATGTGAGAAGTCTGATCCAAAAGCAAGAGGTAGCAACGATTGAAACCTATAGCTTCAATAAAACGCCCGTGACTTAAGGTTTTCAAAGACTCCAATTGAAGGTTTCCTGTATCACTTCTCACAGCCCACACTTTGTTAGGGTTAGGTACAGTTTTGGTGTTCATTGGATTGTAGTAACCCTGTGGAGGAATAACAATTAATACAATTCCAACTAATTACAGTGGCAATGTTGGAGGAAACTTGAGGTGAGGTGTAGAATGTTACAATAAAAATAATAAACCAAGCAAGATAATAAAGCAAAAATACGAACCTGAAGTAGATTTTTAATCAATTTTAGACGAAATTCCATTTGCACAACATGAGACGCGCCATCGACAGCCATAAGTGTACTCAGAAAGAAATAAAAATAATCCAAAGAATACAAAGTAGGAGACAGCCAACCAAAACCCTCAACCCAGCACACGTAGTCCACTGTAGAACTGATGATGAAGAACAAGGTGCAGATGCCCAAAATCCTTACAATAATCTTCCGAATTTCATCGTAGCTAGTCATGCCAAGGATCTGATCAATATGGTCGAAGGTCTTGAAGTATTTTAGAAAATCATCTCTTCCATACTTGTAGACGTAGAACAAGTCGACGGTGTAGGCAAAGTAACCGATGAGATAAGTCATCTGGATGGTATCAGAGAAGGTAACAAGGAATGTATTGTTCCGAATAACATCCAGCCTCTGAATCTTCTGGAGCAAGAAGAAGAAGTTCAGGAAGCCGAAGATCAGAACGTAAATAATACTTTTTGTCATTGACCAAGAGATTTTTAGTTGATTGTGTTTGCGGTAGATACATGATAGGTTAAAAACTCGCAGTATACAATTTAGAGGTGACAATGTATAAAAGGTATCTCTTGAACTCCTATCAACCGCTTTTACATGCATATCGTGCGTGTCACTTTGATGAATTACTACCGAATGGCGTATAAGCTCTTAAAACTATTAGTTTTTTTGTAATGCCACTATTGGCACCACTTTCAACTATTAAACTAATATTACGTACTCAGTGTTAATTGTTACTTCCATTTTCATAAGTAGTTACTATTATTTCTGGGTTTCAAGCAATATTGGCTAAGTTTTTGATATTAAATGTTGGAGATAAGAATCAATTTTGTGTGCGTGGGTTTTAATGTATGAATTGACATTAACTCGTCGAGTACCGGTTTTGTAGACACAATAAAATTATAGAACAATAGGTTGCGGTCACCGGTGACCGCTTGGTATTTGACAGTTTAATACTCATTAAGTTGTGGTGTAATGTATAAAAGGGTAGCGTCGAAGGTTTCGAGTAATGGGACGAAAAAAAGTCATTTTTTTTCTACAGGTCACTACAAAAATGATTCCTGAGACGAATGTTAAAATGGTTATAGAAAAAAAATTTAATTTTTGGTTATTGATGGTCAGTATAAAAACGTTACCATTTTTTCTGCTTAACTCTCGTCTCTTTATACCACCGCCTTCATTAGTTATGTAAAGACAAAGAAGCATCAATTTTACAATTATACAAGTACCTCTTCACTTCATTAAAAGTGTTCATTCAACTTTAATCTTTTACCTTATATGTAGTTACTCATCGTGTACTAAAATAAAATTGTGATAGACTATAACATCTGTACCTTACTTTGAATTAATGATTCAGGGACTAAATTAAACCAGCTGAAGGTATAGAACCAGCTTTGACAGTTTCTGTTTGTCTATAATATATTTGTATACGTGTCAATGCCAGATCATTCTGACCACATCACAATGCCTATAAGTGGTCGCTGTTGACCATAGGCCTCTTTATCACATAGCTCTTTATAGTTTACTCAAAGCGGGTTGGCAATTTCAAACTTAGAATTAGAAATTATAAGTACAGAGGCCTTAGTATGAGTTTCATTTACGTTTAAAGTATTCGAAACGAGTACGCGTTCGGCGCTCTGATTGGTTGGCTCTTTGGCCAATCGATTATTTTAACGTAAGACAAACTTGTACTTAGGCCTCAGGTTTTCTCTGGCTTTCACAGTTTATGCACAATTCTTATGGGGTACGCACAAAGTCACGGCTAAAAGTCAGTTAAATTACAATTTCATTAAAATTCACAGACTAATAACGAATGAGTTTAATTTAATCTACCCTTTTTATTTAATGTTATCGTTTTTATGCTGCGTACATACATAATCGTTTTAGAAGTAATAGGTTCGTACGTATGTCGTTTTAGAAATAATGACACCAAATAGACTTTTTTTTAAGGTGGGAAAATCATCGAATGGCTGCTCCCGCCTGGGTGAGGCGGGAGGGAGCGTCAGACTCTTACTGACTAAAAACCACCCCGTTCCTTCTACTGCACGTCGAGCCGGAGCCCCGGTTACCCGTTAGGTTTTCCGCGACAACCAAATAGACTTAGACTTACATGACTTCACATTTTATTTATTTGTTTTTTTTTTTAATTACTCGAAGTTACGTGAGGTTAATAGGTGCGTATTTTGCTTGTAACACTCATTTCTCTAATTAATTTTCTAGCTACTGCAGTGATAGTGACTTATTACCTACTTCTACATAATAGGGTAGATGCCTAATTTTTATTTTAACGTCCGTCTGGTAGATTATTTTAAATCATTAGACACGTATTTTTTATTTTTTTACAGGAATGAATACTTTCGACGATATATTGATTTGAAATGTCGCGTGACGTCACTTCTATGTACATTTTACACGTAGAAATGATGTTTTAGCCACCACTCCTAAACTTTTATTCGTTTTATCTAATAGTATTATTTTATTATACAACAACATAAAAAATACGTAGGTATCTAATATTTTTTCATTACTTACAGACTAATTAGATTTTTAATTTTCATACCCCGTCATCATCCCAATTATGTCCCAAATCGTAGTTTTCCTATGAAAAATCAAGTAAAGATTCCTCGACTCGGCCATTAAAGACCCTTGATCTAATTCACGGGTCTAATAAAGCTACAATCAGTTTTGTTTTAGTTTTATGAAATATTTATGAAACCCACTATTAGTAGTAAGTCAAAACTATACGTATAACATGTGAAAAATGAATATTGTGTTCATAACGTGTACCTTTTTGTTTATTGTTTTGTGCAATATCTTAAGTCCTGAATAAGTACCACTACCAACGAAGTATCATCATCATCTTTAACAGCCTATAAGTGGCCACATCTGACCAAAGGCCCCTTTTCGTACGGAGAAGGTTTGAGCATTGTTCATCACGCTTGCTCAACGCGGATTGCCGCATTCGAGCTTATGATTCGAAATTATAAGCCCAGGTTTCTTCACAATGATCGCGACATGATCTCCGGCCACCGTAAGCATGGGCTTGCGTCGCCGTACGCACGTCACGTTCCGAGCGCGCCTCAAAGAGCCATCAGACCACCACAAATGGAGCCCAACAGGGCTAATGCCATACGGAGGCGCAGAAGACTTAACGGCTTGCCGGGGCTCCGGGTCGAAGTGCAGCAGTAGGAACGGGGTGGTTTTTAGTCAGTAAGAGTCTGACACTCCCTCTCGCCTCACCCGGGCGGGAGAAGTCATTGGATGATTTTCCCCTCAAAAAAAAAAAAAGAAAGGTTTCCTCACAATGTTTATGAACACCGTTTGTCAGTGGTGTTTAAATGTTCTTATACATTTAACTGGCGAATTATGGCTTCCATGTATTAGTACGTGCACTATTGCGCATATTATGTGCATCCCTCACACTATCAGTTTCCAGTTCACCGCTAAGTAACTGACCGTTTAGACTATAAGTCTAGATATATTACAGCTTTATGGCTTTACTTAGCTAGGAGTTACTGCAACTTGTGAACTTGATTTAGTCATAGTAGAACACTTAGTCCAGAAATTGTTATGTTTTGATATGATATACCATTTTATTCATATATATTTTATAGATATATGTATTATACTGTATTATTATTAAAATATTGATTCAACCAAGTTAAGTTTTTGACATTTGAGTAGGCTGGAAACCACAGAGCTAATACGATGTAATGATTAAGTAATATTACAAGTGTAATTTTTTAAAACAACAGTTAAATGCGGGGACGCTATGCTTCAGCATGAATAGGCCGGCTCGACCGGAGTGGTACCACAGCCTCACTAAAACCGACGTGAAACAATGTTTGCGTTGTGTTTCGTCGTGTGAATGAGGTTACCTACGAGGTTACTACGAGGCCACCTAGGGGTGGTAATTGGGCCTCTGATTGAGAGATTGGGAAAGGGGGGTAGCCCCTCCCTTCTCCAATCACTCCAATCCCTGAATCCCCTACAATTCTCAAATTCCTAATCCCGAAAAGGCCGGTAACGCACTGGAACCGCCACTGGTGTTCCGGGTGTCCATGGGTGACGCCGATTGCGTACCACTAGATATTATTATCCACTTGCTCGTTTACCAGTTTATCTTATAAACAAAAACATCATAGTTACAATTTTAATCTGAACTGCTCTGCTAAAGTAATTGGTTTGGTTAAACTATTTGATCTAAGAAACTATGTATGTTTCCTTAGAAAGGGTAATGGGCAACTCATTATGAGAGGATTTTCCTTGAATTTCCATGGGATTGGCAAAACGAGAAAAATATTTTTTTACGAAGTACGAAGTCGCTGGAATATGCTAGTTAAATGTAGGGATAAGCATTTTTTCTTATAATATCCTCAGAATTACAATTTCATAAGAAATTTTGTACCAATGTCAGGCCCTTAAAAACCATGGATTGATATAATATAATAATATTGATTTATTTTGTCGCTAGAGGCTATGGAATAAATAAATTCTTCCTTATAAAAAATATTATGTTCCCTTTCTATCAATTTACATGGGATCCATCGGCTGAATACAATAATTCAGGATAATATTACAAGCTGTAATCGAAGGTTTTATGAAATGATTTGGTTTCAGATATTTTATGTTTTTATTGGGCTTGTCCCACTATATTCACAATATTTATAAACATGGCTGCCTCGTTGGCCGAGTGGTCGCAAGTGCGACTGCCGAGCAAGGGGTCTCGGGTTCGATTCCCGGATCGGGTAAAGCATTACTGGGTTTTTAAAAAAATCTCAGTAGTAGTAAGGAGTGTGGATCTGTGCCCGGTATACGGTAATAGGCTCACCCCCTATTACATGGGGCTCATAACATAAATAGTGAAAAGTGGGTGTTACATTGTACAGTGGCATAATGTGCACCTCTTCCCTTCGGATAAAAGGCGTGATGTTATGTTATAAACATGTCCCAACACAGATTGAACGAGGACTAATCAAAATTTTACGGGTCCTAGAGACATAAACAAATTAATTTATATCCAAACATCAGAATGAAAACATTAAATAGGTAGATAATTTTTAAAACACAATTGTTTGCGTCTAAAAAAAAACCACGACGGGGATTAAAACGTGATATTTTTAAACCTGTCAGACAAAAATATAATCTCCCAAAATCATTTTATACTATACTTCTTATAAAAAAAGAAATAGCGACATCTCGTCAACCGAAGTTTGTTATAAAATTAAAACAAATATCCTTACAAAACTCAAGAGACAGTATAAACCGGAGATTACCAGTGAGAACCGCCGAAAACCGGCGGAATCCGGTTAATATAATTACGCAGCAAGTTGAAGATCAAGACGGCTTATGTGATGTAAGTTAGTGAAAGTATTCCATCGGGTGCTCTGAATATTATATAGGACGAACTTCGCGGTGTATCTCGACAAAATATTTATAGACAATTTTCTTTATGAACATTTTTTTTATCC